GCCATGAGGTGCCAGGTTGAACTTCCAGTGACCAGTATGAGAGAGTGAGAGCAATAACACCAAATTTAACACACCTGCTCCCCATTCACACCTGAGACCTTGTAACACTAATGAGTCACATGACACCGGGGAGGGAAAATGGCTAATAATGCCCAATTTGGACAGTTTCACTTAGGGGTGTACTCACTTTTGTTGCCAGCGGTTTAGACATTGATGGCTGTGTGTTGAGTTATTTTGAGGGGACAGCAAATTTACACTGTTATACAAGCTGTATGCTCACTACTTTACATTGTAGCAAAGTGTCATTTCTTCAGGGTTGTCACATGAAAAGATATAATAAAATACTTACAAAATGTGAGGGGTGTACTCACTTCTGTGATATACTGTACTAACGGTGTCTGTGCTGGTAATGTGGAGGCCTTGCCTCTAACCCCTGTGTGTGATGCACAGAGAACAAGAAAATGAAAGATGCATTCTGTAACTGTAGTTCTTTGAGTGAGCTGTAACTGCATTCACACCCCCTTTTCTCCACCTAGGTATTGTTCTTTTTGAGTTAAATTTTGTTACCAAGGTATATTATACTGTTGTATCACTTTCCTCTCCATGCTTTTGTCAATATTGGCACCACAGTTGTCTCTTTGTTCTGAGGCCACATTAGATGGTTTTGGGAATATGTGCTCTAGATAGTTGAGGGGAAGGATTCCCACCAACTCTGTGGCTACAGAAGCTTCCCACAGGAGGCATCATGCAGGCACAGAGTCCACATATGTGAAATGTGAATACAAAGATGACCACTTGAAGAACTGCAGTTACAGGGAAGCAACCAGTCTTTAGTCCTAACTTGCAGTTCCACTGTAGCAAGTGATCAGTATTACCCAAGTATGAAATTATTCAATTAAATGTTACTTACATTTGGAAGTTATACAGTTTTGTTTCAGGTGATATATAGGTTAGATGGGAAGTACTACAAAATAAAGCACATACGAGTAATACTTGCACTGAAAATAATTGTACAAGTTACACTTTTTTGAATATATTTATATTAGAAAATGTCTGAAGCTAAGACATACTTTTCAGTTTACAAAGCTTAGGGATACAAGTGATGTGACAATGAATCCAGGTTATAATTAAAATGGAAGATTGAGATATTTTATTACAAGGAAGTAATCACTGGAGGAAAATCAGATAAATTAATTTATTACAAGGGATTAGGGGATATTTGCTCTGCCCCATGAAATTCCAAAGGGATCGTTTTAATACAGTTCTTCTGCTGTACTACCAAAGAAATTCTGAAAAAGAGGAACTATAATTTCATAAAGGGATACGAAAGAACAGAAGTAATCACAATAGGGTCAATCTACAGCCAGAATGCCAAACATATTTCCTGCTTGAAAGAAGTGTTTCAAATGCTATATAAATTCAAAAGGGGGAGAGTAGTTATAGAAGGAAATTTAAACTTATTTACGAGCAAGAAATAACACAAAATTTCACACCAGGGTGGTATAACTAAGGTAAAGAACACAGGGCTACTGCATGTCATACATGTCATATAAAGAGATTAATAGACAAACGGAGATTGATCAAGAGAATGAGATTCTGTTGATTTTTCAAAGAGACATAATATATACATATAATAATACATATTGAGAACCAGTATGGTGTAGTGGTTAAGAGCATGGGACTGGGACTCAGACGACCTGGGTTCTAGTCCCCACTCAGCCATGGAGCCAACTGGGTGACTTTGGGCCAGTCACAGACTTTCAGCCCAACCTACCTCACAGGGTTCTTGTTGTGGGGTAAGATGGAGGAGGAGAATGACATAAGCTGCCTTGAGCCCTTCGTAGGAAAAAGGCAGGATACAAATCGAAAAATAAATAAATAAATAAATAAAATACATCAGGGTGTCTTATATCTTGCTTTCATAATTTTGGGAAAAGATAAGACATCAAAAATAACTTCTGATTGTGCTCCCATAATTACTATAATTAATTGGGGTGGAGAGAAAATACTTCTTTCAGGTTGTGACTGAATTAGATTTTTTTAGAGAAACAATTGACAAGAGGCAAATGGAAAGAAAAAAAAACAATACTTTGGAATCAGTAACACACCAGATTTACATGTCAAATGATATCAGATGCTATGGAAACCGTCCTGAGAGTTCATAAATGAAACAGGTAAATCCATAAGGAATAAGGGAAACTGCCAAAATAACATTCTTGAAATAAAAAATTAGAAGCAGAGAGCAAACAAATACTCCAAGAGTTAGTAAAGAACAGTAGTGGGTTAGATTAATTAGATATAAGCTGATGCATTGAGTAGACCCAAAACATATGACTTTGGAGATTTAAAAAAATCAAAATTTCAATCAAAATGATAAAGATTTTATACAGGAGAGAAATAGTACAAAATGAAAAAGCTGCATAATTCCAAATAAATTAATGATTAATTTGAACAATTGTTTGCAAACATATATTCCTCTATTTTCCAGATGTAACAGAAAAAGAATACTACATTTCTAAATTTAACCATTTAAATTTGTTTAACCATTTAGAGGAGAATGTCAGGAATATTTAAATTGGGAAATGTATAAATACTAAATTACATATAGTACATCTATTCAATAAAACCTTCAAAAATGCTCAATAACAGTAATTTGGCAAATACCAGAATCTTGGCAAACCTCCCAAATAATAGTTATTCCCAAGAGTTATTCACAAATCAGGGTAACTACAGAAGATACAGAATCATAATACTAATCATATTTTTACCTGTGGTTTTAAAGAGCTTTTTTTAGCCAGAATGTTTTTAAAAATATAGATAAGCTGCTCTTGTTCTTCTTTTAGGTTTTGCATTTGTGTAGTTGTAATTGGTCCATTCATAAATGTATTTAAAACTGATTTAAGATATTATGAACTTGTTTAAGATATTATGAACTTGTTCTGTTGATAAACAATTGCTTATTTTATATTGAAAACTGACTTGGAAGACTGCAGCTTTGCAGGACAGTTAGGACATGCATACAATTAAAAAGAATATGTGGAAATACAGTGAACCAGCTGATACATAGTGCTGCAAGTGGCACATCATAGTTTTAATTCATCCACTATGTTTCTGGGACTGTAACAGAGCAAAAATGCATTTTTCCACATATGATGGAGATTTTAAAGTCATTAGCTCAGTTTGGAGAAACATATTTGAAAGAGAAAGGTATTTGAAGAAATAATAAAATAGCTAATTGAGCAAGCTCCAATTTTAGGTATCTTGTTTGTCTTGGAAGGGCATAATGCAGGCCTTGCAAACAGCTGGAAATGAAATTATGAACCATCTAAGGGAAATGGATAAAGAAAAATATAGGCGGTGCCCTTGATAAAGGAACTAACTAAATGACCCTGAGCAGCAAACAGATAGACAGACATAGATGACCTTTATGAAACTTCATTTTGTTTTATTGATTGTACTAACCAGAACAAAAGCAGGAGGAACAATACACTCAGGAAAGAAGTCTTGTGATGAAGTGATATTACTGAAATACAGGCAATAACAATCCAAATATAGTCACTGTGTATATGAGTCTTGAAACAGAGGAATGGCTTGGGTTTTTTTTTTCTTTGTTTGTGCTGATCTTGGTGTATCTGTTGAGAAAGAAAACCACTTAAGTATAAGTGGGTGTATACCAGAGACACACATATATGTCACTTTTGATACCTCAGATTTCAGAGCCATTCTTGTGTGCTGTTTAGAAGTAATCAGCCAAAAGGATCAGGCTTAAGAGGTGTGGTTGGCACACACCCTCATACATATCTGTTTGTATCTGACTGTCTATGTATAGTAACTGGATTTTAATTTGTGGATCTTTGTCAAGTTTAATCAGATTACTGTAAGAAACAGTGGATGGCAGTGTTCATTCGCAAACACTAAACTAACAAGGGAGTCTAGATTCAAGTTGCAGTATTTTCACATAAGTCAAGTTGACATGACTCCTTTAGAAACACTGAAATTGGATGTAAGGCTGTCAAGTATGTGCAGGAGTTTTCATAACCAGGCAGGGGGATTTAACTCATACATTTATGGAATGGTCTCTTTAAAAGATTTTCAGGAGTAATAAAACAAATATCTTTGTTGACTTGTCATATGTTTAGTTGCAGTATTGACTTAGCATGGCACTTTATTGGAGTAGGACTTCTGTTTTAATTGGGCCCCAATGTCTCTTGTCCTTCAGTGCTTACAGCAATGCTATCTTTTACCAGGGCAGAATGACTGACATATCTCTTGCAGACAACTCTGCATCAGGTGACTTGTAGGCTGAAGAACTGTGCAGTAATTTTTTGGAGCATTTCACTGAATGTAGTTCTGCAGGTTACAATTATTCTTTTTCTCTGTGTTAATATAATGCATTTGAACTTCTGAACTTCATTTTTAAAGTACATGTGTGTTTTTATATACAATACAGAATCAAATACATTGCTGATTCACATTAATTTGAAATAATAATTATATGTGTCTATCTTGTGGGATTCATGGGATAGTTATAGCAATCCTAAATTTAGCTCTTAGAAAAACTTTGTGAAATATATTTGGTCCAAACTGTGATCCACCAATAAAAAGTTTATCAACTCCTCTAGTTAAAATTCTAGAATTTGTCCAGCGATAATCAATTTAAACATACTCAGGAAACAATTCTGTATTAAAAAAAAACCTGTCCAAAAAGTCCCCCTAGGCAAAGTTCCCTCTTGTAAGCAGAAGAAAGAGGAATGACAATTGGTGTTTAGTGCTGGCAATCATCCATCTTGTGCTCTTCTATTCTCTTAAACTGTAGTAATTTCATTCTTAACTGCTAATGTTTACCTAACCATCCTGGCAGGCTGAATTAAAAGCCTGACCTAGGAGCCAGATATACTTACACATGTACACACACACATGCATGTGGAGAGGAATATTGTTTCCCTCATACAATATATTTATCTAGAAAATAATGCTGATATTAAATATGTTCTCTCTAGACTATACCAGAAATACCAAGATGATACTACAGAAGGGGTTTTATACAAAATGCTCTTGCATAGTTTAGGAGTTGCTGATATACCAAAAGAATTAACTGCCTTCAGCAGCACTCTTCCATCCCAAGGAAATCAACAGAGAGAAGATAAAAAGCAGATAGACATTTCAGAGAGGTATTATACAAATAATTGCTAATGTACATACTCACTAAAGTTCTAGAAATGTTTAGGAGTGTGCAAAACTCTACACAGAAGAACAAACAAAACTTTTTTGGGTGCCCTTGACATTCCTCCATTGCATGAAAAAGAACTGCCAAATTAAGTCCTGTTGATATCCAGTGGCATTCTATCTTGCCTTCCCTCAGGCAAGAGGAGATAACATTTGGTTTTCAGAGGCTACATTTAGCTCTCAGAGCTAATACCTATAAGAGACTTTTCCTATTTGAATCTGACTAATCCTCCTTTAAAGCAATCTAAGTGGCCATTGCTATAGCTGATGCCCTCCAGATGGGTTGACTCTATTCTTGTTGCTCTTGCTGACTAGGCGATGATAGCAGTTGTGGTCTAACACATCTGGAGAGGACCAGGTTGGTAAAGGTTCCTATATCTTATGGCAATGAATTCCACAATTAATGATGCAGTGTGTGCATTAGCCCAACCTTGAAATCTTCATTAGTACCTCCACACTACATGTATCAAAGCCTATTAAATCCAAGAGTCAACAGTTAAATCCATGCTATGTGGGTCAAGGCATGGAAAAATCCAAGAGCCATTGAAGCCAGCAAGCACTGTGGGTTATTGAAGACAAAGATACCCAGCCAATAGCAAACAATAATTCAAGGTCTATGAAATGTATAAGAACATTTTCCATGACAAATTCTTGATGATTCATAGATCAAACAGACAATTTAAGCAGAACAAATTAAATTCAGATGAGAGGCATTTCTCACAGCTCAGAGGGAAGTCCCAAGCATGCAGGGTTACAGGCAGTACATGATGGACAATAAAAGATTGCCCATTCACAATTATTTCCCCAGCAAAGGCTTCCAGATTGGGCCTCACCAGGAGAGGGGCTGCAATAACTCACCCCCTGATGGTGTAATTCACACAATCTCTTAGCCAGTAAACAAAACCTACACCAAACAGAGCATCTCCATTCTGCCTTCTGGAGTTGACATAGCGACCTGTGTGATCCTTTTGAGGCTCCTTCCCTCCACTAGTTTCCTATGGTGGGGCATCTACATCAGAAAGTGAGATTATAGAACCTGGCAGTGATTCAGAAGTAGAACTCCCATTTGCCAAGGACATGGGCCTCCTGTTCAAAGAGGATCCCTTGCTCCATGGTCTTAAGCAACTTTTTTCTTTATGAAGGCATTGGATGTAGTAAAAAGTGACTAACAACCTTTTCTGCTGGGGCTAAATTGAATGATCATTTCCTTACTTCTGGAGTGGAAAACTTCAGAGGGTCAAAGGAAACAATTTCTGACCCCCAGATCCTACCAATACTGCATACACACACACACACTGTATTTTCATTGAATAATGGCAGCAATTCAGCAGTGGGAAAGTTGCATTTTTGCTTTGGGAGATGGTGTGTGGTGAGCATGTGCCTTGTTTTAATATACAAAATCTCTCTGGCCACACTGGTATGAATATAGAGGTCTAGATCAGGGTTCTCAAACTCAACTTACCTGGGGGCCGCTGGAAGTAGAGTCTGGGTGAGGCTGGGCGGCATCAAGTATTCCACCACTGCGGTGGTGGTGGGCCGCTCATCCGGAGGCTGGCCCGGGCGCCGCCGGCGCTTTGAAGGCCGCAGGGCCCCTCCCCATGCCCCGCCCATCCCGGCAATTGGCCTGCGGGCCGCGAGTTTGAGGCCCCTGGTCTAGATCAAGTTATGATAGCATTCTGTTCAATCTATGTGCCTCCTTAATAGAGTCTACTGCAAATACTAGAATTCTTGGTCATGCCATCAGTTTAATAATTGTGTCTACACTGGCTCTCTTTTCAAATTGACCATGTGGCCCTTGAATTCTGAAGAGGTGTTAATTATAGTTTTATAAGCAACTGTCACTTTTTGCAAAGCTTGTAGTGTGCGTATGCTCTCTATAATTGAAACAATACAGATCATTAATGTTTTAATCAAATATTTTATATAGTGCCATATTTAAAATGCTTCTCTTCATTGCCAATCTTCCAATTTTAGAATGAAACAGATTGAAGATCATGCCTACAAATACACCAAGAATAGAACTGTTGATGAAGTAATTGAAAGGCTGAGGGACGGAATCTTGCAGCAGGAAGCAAGCCTTAGAGATGCTTTCCTTGCCTGCAGTAAGCAGGCTAGTGGGAAATTGAGCAGATCTGATTTCCACAAGGTAAATGAAATGTCATTTTTTACTTTTTTGCCATGAAAACCTATGCAAATTGTGTGGTAGTCAGATTTTCTGATACTTCTCCAGTGCAAGGTTCTACCTGCACTACTTGTACTGGCATTGTTCCACATGCATACTTGCATCTACTCATGGGAAAGAAAACCCTGCTTTTCAGTGCTCTCTATTTTGCCACTCACATTATTTTGGCACAGAATAATTTCTATGTTGTGTTGTCTACCAAACAGTCACAGACAGGCACTACTCCAAACCCACCAACATGAAAGCAACGCAGCAGTTCTGTCATACAGCATACCATCTACTTGCTTGACAACATACTCTCCCACATTGTTGCAATCGCAAGGGAAGGAGGCAGAAATTCCTGAACAACCCGTGAGGTTTTATATTCTGGATGGCTCACCATATGTGAGAGATAGAGTAAATAGGTAGCAAGGCAGCATTTTGGGCATGTCCAAGGTTTTGCATATGTCCAGTGCGAATTATATTTCTGTAATTAATTACAAAAAGTAGCACTAAAGAAAGGTGAATGGGGCGGCATAGAAGTTTACTAAATAAATAAATACATAAAATCTAAACTGAAAACAAAAACTAAATTTTGACCATTTCCCCTCCCTGCTTTGGAAATCAGGGTATTGTACCATATCACAGCTTCCTGATCTTCAAAAGCTATTTTCTGTGCAAAGTGGAGCTTGTTGTTTGTTTGATAAACAGAAACCATAGATGCTTAGGGTGCAGGGACTTGGTCACAAGGTTCTTTGACTCCTTGCTTGTGTATGGCTAGATGGTGAGCTGGCTGAGTTCAGGACACTATAGAACAAAGAAAGGGTGGAGACAAAGATGACATTCCATACCTGTTAAAAAACACTCTTTCCTTTCTGTCAGAAGAGAAAAATATTCCAGGCATGGAGAGAGTTCTTTTTAAAACTTTATTGCAATGAAGGGAACAGAAAGGAATGGTTTCCTTCCCATCCTTCTGTTCACCTGAGCACATGTTCACACACCCCTTTTGAACCCTGCTCCCGGCCGCTTGTTCCCTTCTCCTTTCCCCTAATTGGCTAATAGGGTACTGAGAGGTTACACTCTTTCCGCCCGCCTACTCCACACTGCCCCAATACCAACCCTTCTTCCCAATCCAGCCCTGCCCCTGGTGGGCTACAATAGGCTCATTTTGTTCTGCCCAGCTTGTCAATAAACAATCAGGAATTATTTGGCTCTCCTGCTTATGTGGTGGCTTTCTCACACTCTGTGTGCCCACCCTTCTTTTGCTGAAAAGGGAGTTTTCTCGCTTCACCTTTCTTTCTCTTTTCATTCCCCTTGTTCCAAATCACCTCCCCCACCCTTTTCCTATCAATTCCCCCTTTTTCTTTTTTTTGACCTGATTTGGAACAACCATTCCTAGTCTTTGAATTTTGCCACCATCCTTCGGATCACTTCCTCCTTGTCTGTGGATTTTTCTGAACGTATTGTCTTACTACCTGGGGTGCAGACCAGTATACATTGAAGGCTAAGGCAGCAGATTATGCTTATGGCCATTATCCCCAATATGAAAACAGGTGTTCCAACCACATAAAGTTGGGGAGCCATTATGTCAGCTGTTCTCCCATTCCTGACTCCTGCCTTATTTTGCTCCCTGGTATTACCTGTTGGATTACCCTTAAGTTTTCATTGATATCTATTGTGTTTAGACCCATTTTACAGGTGTGTCCAATCACCCCACAGGCCCCTCTTTTGGTACTAAAACATGATTCAGAGCCACCCTATTTTGTGGTGTATATACCTCCATTTGTTGCATCTCCCCAGTCAGCTTCCCTAGTGAGCGCATAGTAGTATTTCCAAGACCCACTGTTGCTCCTGAAGATGTGCTAAATATATGTTGGTAGACACTGCAAAGGAGGCTATTCCAATCCCTATCACCTCTCCATTTGTTGGAATTGTCAGCTCGTTTCCCAGCATTTCTGGCACACCTCTGTGAATAATGAATGACCCTAGTAGGGCACATCTCCCAATTTTATTATTCCTACTGCCACTCCTGTACTTTATGATAACTGGAGAATCTCTCCCACACCCCTAATCAAGAAAAAAATATTCAGGAGGGGTTACACACCCCTCCTTACTTACATAGGTGCCAACCCAGTGTAGCATGACTGCTTTCCAGTATCCATTCGGCCTCCTCTTGTGATCTTAGATATATCACACTTCCATCCAGTCATGTTAACCAGTAAAAGACTCCATTCTCCCCAAACTGGAGCCGTGAGTTCACACTCATTCATCTTTATGGTCCACCCGTAACAGTCCCTGGTGCATCCCCATTTTACACATCTAGTTTCATTCTTCAAAATGCTCCCCTCTCACCATAGATCCTCTAACCTTTGAAAAGAGGTTCTCTATCCAAGCTACTTTTGACTGCCTGGAGCAGTCCTCATCTCCCGGTTCATTCCCCAATTTCCTGCTTACTCATAAATGCCCCTAAATTGTCTTAATTATCTTTGATGTCCAAAAGTGAATTCCCCCTTATTTCCCTTTGCCAACAAGCATCAGCGGGCGTCCTTGATGTCTTGCTGCACGGCTCTTCACTCTGGATTAGCTGCCCACACTTGCTCTATCCCTGTTTCCACTATAACCAAGCTGTAAAATTGCCACTGAGGCACAGGGATCACTGTGCTTTGGCATGCAAATGAGGGCAATTGCAATGCTTTCTACCTGGCAGCGTTATCTGCCCTACCTGATCAGCAAAACAATGGCCCCAGCAGCCCCTATACAAGCCACCAATTCCCATCCTCTTGAACCAACAGCCAATACCAACAGAGATCTGACCTAAGCACAGAGGTGCATATAAGCAACCCCCCCTCTGCCAGGATTTTCATATTTCTCCAACAGTTCCCCCCCCTTTTGTGAGCAACCAAACAAATCAGCCAGTTCAGATAACTCCTGGTGCTTCCTCTTTCTCAGGAAGCAGCTTCTATCCATGCAGCTCAGATGGGGATTGTCTTTGCCCCCTCCTCTGGCTGCAAGGAACTGAGCGCCGGCCAGCTCTCACCTTTAACCTGCCCCACTTGCACCTTTGCAAAGCTGTTACCCAATCTATTTTGAGGCCTGGTTCCTTTGCTCCCTAGGCCCCTCCTTTTGACCCATTGACCTAAAGATATCATCCTCATTGGTGAGACCACCACGATGATGAATACCCTGTCTAAGGCCAACATTCCTTTTTGGTCAACAGACTTGGGTTAGCCTGCTTTGCAAGGTGGGAGCAGTGTGAGATGAGGCAATGGCCTAATGTCCAGTTCAGTTATCTGCTTTGCCCTTTGAGGCGATTCTTCGAGATTTCATTGTCTAGGCGTCACTCAATTTCTGGACTCAGCTGTATGCTTGGCTGTAGGACTGGCCTCTCACGGTTTGCCTGGTTAGTCCTTTGCTTCCTCGTGGATGATACAAAAAGCAAGGCAGAACACAGGAATCACAGTCTTTGCAGTTCCAGTTCATCTGGTGTCTGGAAAGTACAGCTCACAAAACAGGTGGATTAGAAAAAAAAAACAAAAACCTTTACATTTCTTCACAGACACTGGTTAACCACATTAGCTTGGAGAGAAATTTGAGAAATCTTTGTCCCTTTTCAAGCCTGGTCTTCCCCACAAGTCTGTTCAGCAGTCTCAAGAAAAATGTCTGAGATGTTGAAATCGAATCCAACCCATGCCAAAAGCGCACACAAGAGAAATCCTTTGTTGAACTTGCGTGCTTCAAACCCATTGCTTGCCTTGGTTAAAGCAAAATGTACCTTCTGATGGCATTTGTCCAGTGAGAACATGGTATCACACAAATTCTTACAGAGATGGTGCCTCCTCCCCCACATACATAAATACAAAAATGTCCCAAATCCATTACATATACATGCAATTTGAACTAGCACCCTTTACAATCAAATAATCAATGCTTGTTCATCTTGATGAGCATGGCTGCTTATGCTCACAGCAAGAAAAATTAGAAAAAAACCTTGCCATTTCCTGGGGCTAGCAAATGGGCTTAGCCCCCCCCCCCCCAAACATTAGGTTACTGTAAGGAAAACTCTCCTTAGCACCATCAATATTCCTTTCTTGTACAAAACACCCTCCATAGCTATCTTTCCTTGTAAAATTTGGGTCCTGATCAAAATATTTGGCAACATTGCAAAAAGGAAAAGGGAATAACCCACTTGTTGAACCCACAACAAGTGAGACCACAACAAGTAGTCTCCTTGGGGTTTTTGAAAAGAACCCCTCCCACTGTGCACCCCTGCACGCGCACACACCCAACCAAATAGCCCCAGTTCCACCCATTACCCCCCTTCCTCCACTCTTTGTGTTGTGGCACAGCCCCAAGATGGTATACCTAGAATTCAGAATATATATCCCTCCCCCTTCCATGCAAAACTCCTGGTAGTCAACATAAACAATTAATGTATTCCTACAATACCACTTCCTAGGTTTCCTTCCTTTAAAAAAATTCCCCCCAGCCTCCCCTTTGAGAGTGCTCAAACATCCTTTGTTTCAACCCAATCCCTTCCCATGCAGAATTTTTAGACTAGTTAGTCCAGTAGATGGAGTTGCCTTATATGCTGTGTGAGCTTTTCAGTACAGTGAAACAAAGCTTGACCAATGTTATGCTGGCCACACTCTTGTGCATTGTCAGGCTGCTTAAATTCCACTGTAGTGACACCTTTATATTTCAAGTTAGAAGTTGAAGCTGTGACACATTTTTTATGTGCAAATCTGGTCTTTGCATAGGCACAGTAGAAATCCTACTTAAAGCCCGCTGAAACTGGATTTGGAGAACATAACATTAATTACAACAGATTATTATTCTACTGTAATAGCTTGCTTGGAGTGTCCTCTATGCATGAAGCAATACATATGAAAGCCTTGCTTACTGATTTCAATGTCAACAGAGCCTTATGCATTCAGTTCCAGTGGTGACCCTGGCGCTGAGGGAGCCTGCTTGTATAGGACCTCTGTCACATGGCATACAGAGCTTGGCATCTGAGCCCCTGACTCCAGGCTATACTGTAGCAAGAGTTTTATTCTTTGTATTTCTGGAGTGATGGCTTCGTTCATATGCCATAGTAGTGTGGCTCTAGAATTAAGAATTCGATCTGATAGCAAAAGCTTGAACTAAAGCACAAAGCTGCTAATATCTTTTCAAACATGTTTAAAATATACTGAAAAGAGTGATAATTTGCTAATTAGAGCATTCTCACTTTTTTATATTTTTATGCCATTCAGCTATACGATTCTTTTTTCTTTTAATCTCCAGAGCTAAGTAAAACAGAATAGAATAGTAAAAATAATTACCATTGAAGCCTTTACAAAAGGACAAAATATACTGTACAGGTACAAAAGAATATACCCAAATTAGAACTACTGGAATAATTTGTAATTATTAAGATGGAGAGTGTATCACTAAACAAGCCCACAAGCTTGAAACCAATTGATAGTTTTACTGGTTTTAATAGGACTCTCCTCAAATACATAGTTTCAAGACTGCATGCAGAAACTTTACTTCTGTCAAGGATTTAAGAAGTGTGAGATGAAGCTGAAAGCTTAATTGATTGCCTTTAACCAGGACATTGTCCAGTTAAGAAAATCTTACAGTCTTTACCTGCATAGTCAGAATTAACCTCTACTGAATGATATGCATAATTTTGCATACTGCTAAACAAGATTTGATGAAAAAGGTACTTTGCAATGATATATGAATGTGTCAGAGCAAATGCTGTCTTAGAAAAAGGACTTCTGTGTTTGAGTGGAATGGCTCTTGTAAAATGCTGCTTGCCACATGCAGTTTTTTAAGTACTTATATTAAAAGTTGAAATGGTAAAATCTGTTGTTTAAGAGCACCTTTTTGTTGAATTGTTTTTAGCAGATTGATGTAACTATTGCATTTTATAAATGTTATAGATCTAAGATGGTAGATTCTAAGTGATCAGGACCCTGAAAGAAATGGGTTTGATCCAGCCATTGTTAGGCACTGAAGGCTCATTTAATTTTGGTGAGCGTGAGCTAAGCCTTTGATAAACTGTTTTCTTTTGAAACTAGTTGCACTTAAAGGTGTCTGCAAATGTGCCAAATGTTTAATAAACATATTGTTGTTCCTTTTTCTTTCTCTGATAGTTGTTGGATGATATTGGGATGCCAATGAATGATGACCAGTTTAATCTACTTATTGAGAAAATAGGATTCCCAGTTGGAGGGCTGAGTTATCTTGATTTTGTAGCAATATTTGAAGGTAACTGGATAGTTATTGATACCATTACATATTCATTCTGAAAGAACTAAGTCTTTCTTCATCCCCCCAGTCCCAAAAGATAAGTTTCACTCTACTTTGATGATTAGCGCTAAGCTAGAGGTTTATTGTATTCCTACTAAAATCTGAGACAAGGTGTATTACTTTACACAGTGTAATTTATCAAATACAATAGCAGTGATGGAAAGGACCAACACTTTTACATAAGGGCCAATTATATTATGGGAGGCTTTAGTTACCATTCCTAGGGCCAGCCCTGTCATGTGGCAAGGCAAGATTTATGGCAGGGTGGCCCCACATCCTTTTCAACTGTGTCACCCCACCCACAAGTTTGCACAGCACTACCCCTGGACCATTTCTGTGCAAGGCAAGAGAGAAAACTAGTTGCCTGTGGCTGCCCATACAAAGCAGCCACAGTGTAGTGGGCTTTCTCTTCTGCACTGAAATGTAGCCATGCAGCTCCAGCTCATTCACAGTCAACAGCAGTGCTGGCTTTCTTTCTCTTTCTGCTTCAGTCTGAAAGAAAAGCCAGCCTAGCAGCTCTTCCTTGCATGCAAGGCTGCATCATAGGAGGGTGAAGGGAATGATGTGGTAGTGAGAAGGAAGAGTGATTTAACACCCCCCTCTCTCACGCACACCCTTCACTCAGCTGCTTCAGAGCTGCGTCCTGCTTCCCCTTAGTGCTGACCTTTCACACGCTGTAGCAATGAGGCAGCAGTACTGAGATGCAGCATTCAAACCTGAACAGAAGTAGGTTCTAAGACCATCTCACTGTCTTCTGCTCAAATCACCAGTCCTTCTTTGGACCTTTCATTCTCTGCATGGTGGGAGGGAAGAGTGATACTGCTGCAACCACCACCTTTCAACGTGATGCTTGGAAAGCCTGCCATCTTGCACCAGCTGACTAAGCCCATCTAGCAGTCACCAGATCTGTGCCTCTCCAGATCTGAGGTGATCAGAAGGCCAGTATGTGACTGCTAAATGACTTCTTTCATTATTTATTTATTTAAAACATTTCTATGCTGCCCCCATTGCAACAAAGCCTCAGGGCGGCTCATAAAGAATACATAAAACATACATAAATAATAATATAGCAATTAAAAGAAGAAGAAACAACAACAACAACAACATTTAAAAACCTGCGGTGCATTCTCGGCTAAAAATTTTAAAATCCTAATTAATACAATAATTTAGCAATTAAAATAAGTTTTAAATAAAAAGGTCTTAGCCTGGCGCTGAAAAACAAATAACGACGGTGCCAGGCAGACCTCTCTGGGGAGCGCATTCCATAGATGGGGCACCACTGCAGAGAAAGCCCTCCTCCGGGTTCTCACCCTCCTTATATCATTCACAGAGGGTTCACAGAGGGTTCCTGGAGAAGGGCATCCGTTGCTGATCTCAAGGGGCGGGAGGACATATATGGGCACAAGCGTTCCTTTAGATATCCAGGTCCCAATCCGTTTAGGGCTTTATAGGTCATAACCAACAACTTGAATTGGGCCCGGACTTCAGTCGGGAGCCCATTAAGAGATTTGACACAAGGGTGAGCTGTATGATGGAAAGTAGGTTTCACAGAAGTCAAGGCAGGAGGTACAGGCAATTCCCTGGGGTATACAAGAAGGTGAAGGGTAAGTATAATTTTATACAAATAAATCTCAGATTATTTACTGACAGATCTAACAAGATGCAACTAATGGGAATCATTTATTATTATTCTTATTATATGCAAGCCACTGAATATTATGGCAGGGTTTACTTCTCTGGGTAAGTGGTCATAAGCTTGTGCCATGAAACAATCAGAATTCCATAGCTTCTGCCTTGATCTTTCTCCCATGTGTCTAACCACCACCAAAGGTGGAGAAATTAATGTATATGCATTTTGCATGCACACTTCCTTTACATATGCATTTTGTGTGCATTTTTAACTGGAGGAATCATTACAGAATTTGGAAAAGTGCTAATTTTAAGAAAAGTGAAACATTCTATAAGTTCACATTGAAAGACAGACTGAACAACATTCTCCTCTAAGTTAAACATTTTCACTTGTCAATAATAGAATTGAATTTAGGGAGATGGAGGATAGACCTCACTTATTCTATAACAATAACAATAATATTCTGAGGGCTTTTCTACACAAAGCATTTATTGAGTGCTTGGCATTCCCCTTTTTTTCAGGTTCTTTAGATGATGTCATGAGCATCCAGTTTTTCTTCTGGTCTAATGGGCACATTTAGTGAGATATTGTTGAGCAGAGAAAATGTGGCATTTAATTTTGAAAGTAAAAGAAAGCATAATTTCCTTTCCTCTTGCATATTTGCACTATTCTGTTGTACCATGATGCCACCCAGAGATTATGTAAAGCCTTCCCCAACCTGGTGGCCTTCAGAGGCATTTGGACCACAACTCCCAGAATTCCCATCCAGCAGGGCCATTGATTGGGAATTCTGGGTGTTGCAGTCCAAACATGTCTGGAAGGCGCCAGGATGGGGAAGGGTGATGGAAATGCTTCATAGTGAAAGTTCTAAAGAGATGTGCAGTCTCGAGGGTTAAGGAAGGGTTTAAAAAACTATTGTCTTGGTCAATAGCTGATTGTCGGATTCATACATTTCTGTTTTACATGTACATTCCACCCTTTTATCCTCAAAACAGACCTGCAAAGTAGATTGGGTTGAGAAAGAGAGGCTGACTCAAGTTCACCTGGTGAAGCTAAGCAGAAATTGAACTGGGCATCCTTGGTCCTATTCTGATATTCCAGTCAACCTACCTGGTTCTAATGTTAGCTATTCATGCAAAACATTGTGTGGTTTGGTGATTGCTTTACCTTGGTACAACTGTTTCAGATTCCAGGCTGAGTGGACGCTCTCCAAATCACCCAGCCAATGCGATCAAGTGTCACTTCTTATCTGCTGAAGAATGTCTCAGCCAGTATAGTGATAAGCTTGCAGAAGAATATGGGGTAATTACATCCAGATTGTTGATTCATATCACAACTTACTTTTTTGTGATAAATATTTGCATTTCTTTATTGTAAAAATGGATTGTAAAGATTGGCTCTGGATGTTTCCTTCACAGCAATTTCCTTTCACTGTAGACACTAATGTTCAGACATGTTCCATTTTAAAGCTAGTTGTCACATCACACTACTCTTGTCACAAGCAGCTTGGTGTTGCTTATGTAGGCACCTGAGGGTTCCCTTCTCAAGCTCTCCCTGTAGGCAGAGGGACTGCCGAGATTTGAGGTGATGGCTTGCCCATCACTTTCCCTGCCCTCCCAGGAAGGAAGGAGACCCAGGTTATCCAATGCACAGCAGCAGGCCTTTGCCAGAGGGAAGTCATTGTCCCACCTCTGCAGTCTGGACTTTATCATGGAAGAGTAACAAGAAAGATTAGTAGCTTGAGATAAACATCAGAAGATAATAAAATCTTGAATTGCAGCAATGAGATGGATGACTATTTCTCTGTCAAGGTGTAAATGCTGTAGATCCATACTGGGGATCCATTTTCTGGGAATTCAAGGAAACTAATGGGGAAGCCAGCACTGCACATTTAGCAGCTTACCACAACTGTGAGAGAGGTTTGTAAGTGTTGGTGCTTTGTGCAGTCAGAAGAAAGCTGCTTACCACATGCACAATATAATGTGTAGGCAGCTTTGATAGTGATGCTGAATAACCTCTAAGGCATGGGTCCTCAAACTACGGCCCAGGGGACGGATCTGGCCTGCCATGCCCATTTGGACCCGCTGCACACGCGCGCCCACCACCACCCACCTCGCCCTGCACGCAGTGAGGCTGTGGTTTGCTCGCTCAGAGAAAACGATCTCCAAGCGAGCAAGCTGCTGCCTTGTGTGCCCGCCTCATGGCTCGTGCCCACCCCTGCCCATGCCTCGCCTCCCCTCACCGGGCGCACGCGCCCACCCGTGCCTTGCCCCACCTTGCCTTGTGCGCCCTGCACCTGCCTCCGCACGCGCACCTGTACGTGCCACTCCCACACTGGCCCACGCACACTGCCAGCACCACCTTTCTGGCCCACACCCAGCACCAGCAGCTTTCAACTGGCCCCTGGTGGAAAAGTTTGAGGACCCCCGATCTAAGGAATAAAGCTGTGAAACTCTTAGTTACATGTGACCCAAAGAGCTATTTCTTGAGGAATTTGAGTCTCCAAAGCTATGTTGACTAGGTGTATGTACCTCAACTGACCTGACAAACTGGTAAAGACATAACATTCAGAATGTGTTCGAGCCAAGGGAATTAGGAGGAATCTAATGGACTATTGAATGCACTCTTGGGCCAAATCTTCCTAAAGCAGGCTCCCTCGAGCTCACTGTTCATCAGCTATTTGAACTTCAACTTCATTCAGCATGGACAATGATCAGGGATTGTGGAAACTGTAGTCCAAATCATCTGGAGGGCACCTGGGTGGGGAGAGCTGTCCTAAAGCATTCCAGATAGTTGTCTTTGCAGCCTGGCTTTATTTTATTTATTTATTTAGTAAACTTCTATGCTGCCCCATTCACCGAAGCCTTGGGGCGGCTTACAACAATAACACTCGTTTATACAATTTCATTATACAATTTATATGCCATTCAATTACCAACGTCCCTGGACAGCTAACAGCATAAATAAATTAACGACCCACTCTGGCTGCAATTAATAAAATACAATAATACAATTCAATATTAAAACCTATTAAAATATTGATTAAATAAAATGGTCTTAACCTGGCGCCAAAAAACATATATTGATAGCGCCAGGCGGAGCTCTCTGGGGAGCGCATTCCATGGACAGGGCGCCACCACAGAGAAGGCCCTCCTCCAGGTACTCTGTCTCCTAATATCTTTCACAGAGGGTTCCCGAAGGAGGGCTTCTGTTGCCAATCTCGGGGCGGGAGGGTAAATAGGGAAGAAGGCATTCCTTTAGGTATCCTGGTCCCAAGCCATTTAGGGCTTTTATAGATAATAACCAGCACCTTGACTTGAGCCCGGACTTCGATGAGAAGCCAGTGGAGCTGATAGAGGACTGGGGTTATATGAGAATAACACCCAGTCCCTGACAGCATCCTGGCAGCTCTATTTTGAACCATCTGAAGTATCCGGACTGTCTGCAAGGGCAGCCCCATGTAAAGCGTGTTACAGAAATCCAACCGGGAAGTAACCAATGCATGTATTACTGTTGCTAGGCAATCTTCCTCCAGGTAGGGACGCAGCTGATGGATTAGTCGAAGCTGAAGGAAAGCGCTCCTCACCACCGCTGTCTCTTGAGCTTCCAAGGACAGCTCCGGGTAGAGGAGCACTCCCAAGCTGTGAACCCTGTCCTTTAGAGGGAGTGCAACCCCGTCCAGGGCAAGGCCCAAGTCACCTACCCAGGAGCTCAAATCATCCACCAACAGAACCTCTGTCTTATCTGGACTGAGCTTCAGTTTATTGGTCCTCATCGAGCCCATTACCTTGGCCAGGCACCAGTTCAGTACAGCCACTGCCTCACCTGGGTTAGTTGAAAAAGCATACTGATGACTCCGCAGCCCAAACCTCCTGATGACCTCTCCCAGCGGTTTCATGTAGATATTAAATAACAAGGGGGACAAAATGGAACCCTGCGGTACTCCATGGCAAAGTTGCCATGGCGCAGAGCCATAGTCCCCCAGCACCACCTTCTGGAATCGGCCATTGAGATAGGAGCAGAACCACTGCCAAGCAGTGCCTCCTACTCCCAATCCTGCCAGCCTATCCAGGAGGATACCATGGTCGATGGTATCTAAAGCTGCTGAGAGGTCCAGGAGAACCAACAGGGACGCACCCCCCCCCCCGTCTCTCTCCCTGCACAGGTCATCATACAGAGCGACCAAGGCAGATTCAGTACCGTACCCGGTTCTGAAGCCAGACTGAAATGGGTCTGCTCCTTTAAAGGAGTGAGCACCCGGCTGTCCCTCAGAGAGGCACTAATAACCTCCAGGATCCAGGAACCAATCCCGTGTTTGGCTTTGAACAGCAGCCACAAAGGGCAAGGGTCGAGTAAGGTGGTAGGACGTACTTGTCCAAGCACCTTGTCCATGTCTTCAGGCCACATTAATTGAAATTCATCCATTAATACCTGACCAGATAGAATCATTGGTGTCTCCCCTAAGGGATCTGAATCAATTGTGGAGTCCTGCTCGTGACGAATCTGAGCGATTTTCTCCTTGAAGTGCTGGGCAAAGTTGTCACAGCGGGCCATCAATGGTGGTACAGGATCTTTCTTAGGGCCGGGAAATATATATATTTCTTCCACCTACACTCTAGTCGTCTCCCAACCCGCTTCATCACCCGTAATTCAGATGTATACCATGGAGATGGACGGGCTCTGCTTGGCAGGAGAGGATGCTTAGGAGCGATCATGTCAATTGCTCTGGCCATTTCCCCATCCCACAGTTCAACCAGAGCATCAACAGGAGCATCAACTGGAAAATCCCCCAGAGCCCTCGGGAATCCATCCAGATCCATCCGGCACCAAGGGTGGACCATCACAATAGGGTCCGCACCCTTACAGAGGAAAAAGCCAGCTCCGAGCTCAAACCTCACGAGGAAGTGATCTGACCATGACAAGGGAGTCAGATGCAAATTCTTCACCCTCAAATCACCCTCTTCCTGCCCCGTTGAGAAAGCCAGGTCCAGCATGTGACCACATTCATGAGTTGGGCCTATGACATGTTGAGACAGCCCCATGGCCATCATGGAGTCCTGAGCCGCCCCGGTCAGAACAGTCTCGGCATGGAGATTGAAGTCCCCCAAGGGCCAACATCCTGGGGGTCTTCAACACCAGGTCCAAGATGATCTCCGTCAGCTCAGGTAGGGAGTCTGATGGGCAGAAGGGTGCAGGGTACACCAGCAGAATCCCCAAACTGTCTCAATCGCCCAGCGCCAGGTATAAGCACTCTAGACCTGGTCTCAAGAGAACAGGAAGCCCCGCGAGGGAAATAGAAACTCGGTAAATTAAAGCAACCCCCCTCCCCTCTTCTCCAGACGTGACTGGTGCTTAACTAGATACCTGGGTGGGCACAGCTGAGAGAGGGCTACATCCCCCCCTCCCCTGCCCAGGTCTCTGTAATGCAAGCCAGGTTGGCCCCCCTTCCACAATTAAGTCGTGGATGAGGGAAGTTTTATTATGGACCGACCTGGCATTAAGCAACAGCACTGTCAGGCCAGAGGGGTGGTTGATAAGCTTACCCGGAACCTTCCAGTTGGAGGAATAACCAGAAGGAGGAACAAGTATCAACCATCTGTCCCTCCTTCTTCTATGCCAACATGTTAATCCCCCAACGCCATTTCACCCTTTGCCCAACACCACCCCAATGGTGAAACCCATGCATTTCCCAGGCAACCCCATAAAAGCAGCAGCCAGATGTGGAGTCACTAAAATACCATAGAATACAATTTAAAACCCTCCAACCCACCCACTACAAAAAAACACAAAGTTCCTGGCCCAGCCCAGCCCCACATGGTCCCAAACGGCAACGACGGCCACAGCCGGCGAGTTAAGCCTGCCGCCCTTCCCTGTGCCCCACCCCCAATCCAGCACAGCTGCCACCCACGCCTGGGGAGGGAGGAGGGGCAAGGGTGGGGTCCATGGAGAACTCTCTGGCACAGGTGGAGGAGCCGCAGGCCAGCAGCGTCCCCGGTCCCGCTGTGGCCACCGTCTGTTGGAACCGCGGCGGCATCTGCGGGCACGGCGGCATCTGCATTGGCGTCTGCATCAGCCGGTCAGTCCCCGGGCGGCGGCAGTGGTGGGCCTGGTCTTTAGAGACTGTCAAGAAAGGAATATCCAAATTTACTTTTTGCAACTTGCTTCCTGTCTTCAGTTTACTTCTTTTGGAAATAATTTGGCATACAGTTAAAATATCAATTAAATATTTTTGGGCACAATGCTATTCATCCTTCAAAAGAAAAACATTTGACATCTCCAGCATTCAGCAGGTATTCAGCATGATTGAAGTCATAAGACTTTACTCTTTCAAAACTTGCATAGGCTTGTTTCCTTAGCTGTACAGTTAGTACATTGGTATAGCTACTATGCTGTCTAAACAAAAAAAAGTCAACTATTGATATTAAATTGAATATTTCCTATTAGGATCCATACATTGCCTTTCGTAAAATAGATCAGAATAATGATGGTATAATCACCATGCTTGATTTTCGACGCCTCCTGGATAGTTTTATGATCAGCATGGCAGACGAGGAATATATACGTCTGCTCGGTATCCTGGGAATGAGTGAGACTTCTACATTAAACTATCTGGAGTTCCTTCAGTTGTTCCAAGCACATGCAACTAAAGAGATGCGCCCATGGCTGACCCCATCTTACAAGTAAGAAGGGCAGCAATCTCATAGTTTTGTTAGATTTTCATTTTTATTATATTAGTCAGATACAAAGTAATAAAGGGTGCAGGCTTAAGACACAAGCTACTAATGGATAGTATTGGAAGAAGATAAGTTATACCTTTGGCCAATTTAGCTTTTATGAGAACCTAAGCACATCTGGCAGTGAATCAACATGTTCTGGTTTCTTCATACTTATTGGTGGGTTTAGAAATCAAGCCTCTCTATAGGTATCTGTGTAAATAAAATTGTAGACAGATTATATATACTTTTAATTTTGAATCACCTCTTTTGGTAGCCAAACTAGGTACTCCTTCCAAGTGACACAGAATTTGAATAAGTTTGGCGATTTCTTGATAAACTGGAAACTGCACAATTGTTTGACAACAACGTGTTATTCCTCAATTGGGCTGAGTTAAAAGAGTTATGTTGCAATGCTGTAATTGGCCATGCATGAAAAATGAATAGGAATTTCTTCTCAGCACAGTGACATTAGAACAATTCACTTCTGGAAATGAATCTGTTCCAGATACAGTTCTTAACAGAAGACAAGGAGAGAGTGTTTCTCCACCTGTGCTTTCTTAAGAATAAGATCTACTATTCTTCAGTGTATTCAAGGCAGTTTCAGATGTGACACTAAGCAGGTGAATGGGACTTGTGCTTAATTCTCAGTCACATTCCAAAATGATGTTGGGCATTTCCCCCAGTGAAATGTTCAGCCGTGATTTTCAGAGGGAACAATGAAGATCAGACAATGAGAATTGGAAGTTAATTATGAAACCTGTGGTCTCCCTTTTTGCTACATCTGAAGTTGCTAATAGCCAGTATGCTTAAAATTGGAGGAGACATGCAGCAGGTCTACTGTATATTCAGAATTATGAAAAGAAAGAAAAAACCTTCCCACGTGACTGCTAAAATGTATACAAAGGGGTTGTCTCTTCACTAAAAATCAGTATTCAGGTCCAGCCCTACAATTGGGTAAAGTGAGGCTGCCTCAAGGAAGCTGAGTTTGGATATCATGAAAGAACAGCAAATTGTTAGTGATAGACATCTGTTATTGTTGCATCTGTTATTTGGCAGGGAGAAAGAGAGGCAGTAAGTGTTTGCCTCAGGTGCCAGAACAACTGCCAACTTTGGGTACTGTGCACTTTGACTTGAGATGGGAGGCATTTGCTGTTCCAGAACAGGCATCAAAAAGTCTTGGCCAGTCCTGCTAGCATTTCAGCTTTAGTTCTGAACAGTACCTAATGTGAGAACCGTATAGTTTTAAATTATGTGAATTGTGAAAAATATTCATGAAAATGAAGAGAAAGCAATTAAATACTGTCTCTGCTGCCATTACAGTAACTGGGGTGCATTATTTATCTATATGAACAAGATTAATTGTAAATTAATTCATTTTGAATTTAAAAGTACCTAACAGAATAAATTGCCTAGCTTTGTCCCCTGTTACCATTTTAAGGTGAAAGAAGAAAGTTGATAGGAAAATGTTCAGTATAAATTAATATAAAATACAGCTCACTGCATTGTAGGTAATTAGTGCATGGCTCTCTTATATGGCTACTATGCCTGATGTTGATGACCACCTAATGCCACAGTGTCCCCTCTGTTCTGTCAACTTGCCAAATGAATTCTTCCAAATCTTTATATCAGAATAAGAAAACCAAAGTTGCTACATGCAGTTTTACCATTTATTTGCTATATGAGCTCACACGGTCACAAATTTGAACATGCTTTGGTGCAGCACTAGTTATAAAGGATTCTTACCTATTACTATGCTGGGTGGGTGCTTCCATTTTGAAGTGACAGATCCACCTTTAAGGAGTCTCTGCATTTTTAAGCTTTAGAAGGCATTTTAGTAGACATAACCCCCAAGGTATGTGATGTAACAGTCTTGGTGAAACTAAGCAAATCTGATTTTGGTTAGTGTCTCGATGTGAGTCTAACTGGGGATCCACAGTTATGCTGGACTAGTGGACTATATCACTGGTGAAAGTCACTTCTGCCACTGTCCCCAAAGACCTGTATGGCTCTTGTTCTCTTTCTTTTAGAAAACAAATGAACATTGACTTGTCTTGTTGCGCAATTGCTCCCCCAGATAGTTTCCTGTTGATGCTGGCTATCTTTTTTAGTTTTATTGCGACACTTTGATTAGTATGTTGTTCTTTCTTTGTTGCATATTTATTGTGTAGACTGCTTTGAGAAAGGCACCACTGAAATTGTAATATAATTAAAAGCACGGACTCTCCCTTCCTCTCTTTCTCTATTTGTCTTTCTTTTCTTCACCACAAACATATAGATGCACACACACATTCCCATATGTTGTGTCAATTAAAAAAAGTTTCTCACTATCAAAAAGAATTGAAAAAGAATAAATATACCAATTCGGTGTCTCAGAAATTAAATGTCATGGTCAATCTATGAGTAACTTACAGTGGGAAAGGTGTAGATTTCATTTGTTATCCATTTCACCATAGAAGTGGGTTAGAAGTAGTTTAAAAGAAATTACAAAGTATTGCTTAGATTAAAAGCAACTTGAAATTTTTCATGATTCAGGATTGTTGTGGTAAGCATATATGCTCCCGAGTCTTAGTAGTTTTTTTTTTTTTTTTTTTTTTTTTGTGGAGGATTGCAAGCTCTCTTGAAATGATATAGTTAGCCTGTCATCCTGTTCATAAATGTTAAGCTGTAATTTTTTTTCCCCCCGATTTATATCCTGCCTTTTTCCTACAAAGGGCTCAAGGCAGCTTACATCATTCTCCTCCTCCATCTTATCCCCACAACAACAACCCTGTGAGTGTTGTGGGGGATTGATTCTCTGGGCACAACCTAGCAAAAGTTCTTTTAAGTTGAGGAAAGAAATACATATCTTAAAAAGCTGTTACAATGTCTTATGACCCCATAGCAGAGAACAGGCTGCAAATCTTAAATAAAAGCATGTAGAGCACAATCCTATGCAAATTTAGGCAGAAAAAGAGCCCTGTAAACAAGCAATGCTGGCTGAAGAATGCTGTGTGTAGGATTTCTTTTTCATTCTAAACATGCCCTTAAAAGTCATTATACCCTAAATAAAGAATAAGGTGGCATATTGCGCTGGTACAATTAGAGATGGTACTGCTTCCGACTGCAGATGAGGAGGGGGAGCAATTCTTTAATTGTCTCACATTTTTTAAAAGTTCCTTGTGTAGTAATTGAGGAGAGGCCTAAATTGGAGCTACAATATCATTCACCTTATTAAGAGTAAGGACTTGCTTCTGACTAAACATTCAAGGGATGATTCTCACAGATAAATGAATTTATTACATTTGAAGTAAGTCTGTTTGCTTTTTATATGGAGGGAACAATACAAACATTACCCCTCAGTGTACTCTCTGAAGTGTGAAGCCCAGATTTCTTCTATCTCAGTCCACTTATAGTTTAGGATGGTGGTTGGTTTCATTAAAATCGGTTGGACTTCTATCAGTCACAACTATGCACCATTCAGTTGCTTTCAGTGTGATCTCCTGCCTATTTATGAGTACCGTATTTTTCGTTCTATAAGACGCACCTGACCATAAGACACACCTAGTTTTTAGAGGAGGGATCCATGGAAAGCTTCCTGATAATCACAGGCACATTCCCCATCACTTCCCCATGGGCTTCATTAAAAGACGGGTTGCCATTTGAAAACACACACCAACCTGTGATTAACAGCTCTCACCTGCGCCGGAGGAGGGGGGTGGAGCAGGGCGCGCTGAGCGCATGCCAGCCAGGTGTGGTGCAGCCGGGCCAGCAGCATGCCGGCGGTGGTCTTCTGGACGGCGCTGCAGCAGGTCTTCCCAGGCGGTGGGGGTGAGCAGTCCGTCTCTCTGTGCAGCCGGCAGGTTAAAGCCCGCGGCTCCTCCTCCTCCACACAGCTCTCACCTGCGCCGGAGGGGGGAGGCAGAGCAGCGTGCACTGAGCGCGTGCCAGCCAGGTGGTGCCATGTGATGCAGGCAGGCTGGCAGTGTCCCGGGCGTCGGTCACACACACATTTGCTCTATAAGACTCACAGACATTTCCCCTTTTGAGGGGGGAAAAGTGCGTCTTATAGAGTGAAAAATACGGTAAATGAAAAACTAGATGTGACACATGTAGTCATGTGCCTCTTTCTACTAAATTTAGAAAAAAAATCCTGTTATTTATTGAAAAGCAGTCTCAAGAGCCTGTGATCAGACAGCATGCAGATAAGCTGCTTCACCTTCCCTCCTCTGGACACTCAAGATACTTCACTTTGCTGTAAGGGTGTGCCTTACCTAGTTTAACCCTTCATCCCATGGACTTTCCAGGCGCAGGACTTCAAGTCATAACTAAAGCCATCGTTACATGTATGATGAACATCTGAGAGGGGGCAACAGGGCTGCACATGCTCTCTTACTCTTGTCCCAGAACCCTTGAGTGTTGAAACTGAACAAGGTTCAATTTAGATGCTAGGAAGTACTTCCTGACAGTTAGGACCCCGAGGGTATGGAATGGGCTTCCACAGGAGGTGGTTGAGGCCCCATTGGTGAGGGTGTTCAGGAATAGGCTAGATATGCACATGGTGGGCATGTCATGAGTGGAGCTGGCTGGAGCTGGGGGGTCAGACTAGATGGCCCAGGAGGCCCCTTCTGACTCGCTCTGTTTCTGTTTCTGTGACTCACAAAAGAGGCAGTGTGTTATTATCTGTGTGCACATTGGCTTCAGCTGCACAGTTGGGACCCCAAGAAGGGTCTTGCTCCCCGCCCTAAATGCACTCATCCACTTTTGCTGGATAGTGCTCAGTTGTTTAATTTGCACTCAAAATGGAACACTACTCTGTTTCCCATTTAAAAAACAGTTACTGCTAACCTAACTTTTCAGTGAAAATTTGTAATAATTTCTCAGAACTGGTTTGGATCTTGTCTTTTATGTTACTGCTTTGATTTATAAATATTTTCTCCTCATATCTATGCTGCAATTAAGCAATTTGACCAATCTGCAAATAATAGCAGGGATTAACAGGAGTTTTGAAGAGACCATGCAGCTGGAGAGTGGTGGCAATACTTATAAGGAATTCATTTGTATGCAGATATTTGAGATGTATCTTTAAAGTTATCTGTACAAAATATAAAAAGGAAACAAACAAACAAACCTGGCAGGAAATTAATGATCCCATTAAAAGGAAACTACAGTTAGTTATCATAATTCTTTCTTTCTTTCTGAGACCTAAACAGATAGTAGCGGATGCGGACCTTGCTTGTGAACAAGCTCATTACTATCTTACTATAAAAGCGCAAAGCAGATGGAATGACCTAGCCATGGTAAGCTTCATGTAGCCTTTAAGCAAATATGTCTTCCTAAATAGCTTTTCAGGGCTTCATAAAGAGTTTGTCTTTGATGGTATAATTTTAAAAAAACACACAAGCATTTTAGCTACATTAAATAAATAGCTCACAGCTGATCAAAACAAGTGGTGAGTTTTTAAATAATTTATTACAATATTTGATTTGAAGCTGCTCAGCTTTTCAGCTATTAAAAATGTAGAAGATGACCCTCCCCGTGCTCTCTCTCCCACATACATACGTGCACACACACTATAGTTACCTCATAGTTAATATGTAAATATGTTTTAGGTACTGCTTCTGCAGAAAAGGTGTAATGCTTGGAGTAAGGCAGTATTTCAACACTTCTCATAGATGTTATAAACCTGCAGGGTGCACTGCAATCTCTTATAACCCGAAAGGGTTATCCCAGGGGTCCTCAAACTTTTTCAGCAGGGGGCCAGTTGAATGGTGCCGGTGCTAGCTGCGGGCCAGAAAGGAGGTGATGGCAGTGCATGCGGATCAGTGAGGGGGCAGGGGCGGTGCATGCATGCGTGCACATGCACTGAGGTGGGGCTGGGACGTGAGGTGAGGCGAGGCGTGGGTAGGCAGGCGCATGCGGTGAGGCGAGGCAGGCACATGAGCGAGCAAACCGCTGCCTACCTGTGCATGGGGTGAGGGCGGCGGGCGCGCACATGGGCGCGGTGGGTCCAAATGGGCATGGCAGGCCAGAGCTGGCCCCCGGGCCTTAGTTTGAGGACCCATGGGTTATCCAGTCTCACTGGTCCACATCATTATGTTTATGCCTGGGTTACAATACCTCTTGATTGGAAGGAGGTAAACCCAGAGCAGTGACTCATGGAAAGTTACACCAGGCAGCCTGGGTCAGGTTTAAGGAGACTCTGGCCAAAGTGCCTTCCAGCGACCTTACCAGGTGGCAGGAACAAAAATGCCACCACAACTCACTTCTGTTGAGGAGGGGTACGTGTTGTATAGCATCAGCCAAGGCTGCAGCTGCCTGCCATCTCCTTTTTCCCAGAATACCTCTCAGTCCTGATGTAGCAGAGTCCAAAAGCATTCTGGAGAGAAGAATATTGTGGGCAGCCGCAGCTTTGGCCAATGCTACACAGCACAGTGCATTCACCATATAAACTAGATTAAAATGATAAACTGTTGCAGGTCTGCAGGCAGTCTCTGCTGAGGTGATAGTGGGCATTTCTACAGTGCCTCTACTTGAAGGTGCTAAGGATCTAATCACACCTAATATATTTAATCGTTTAATTGTATGGCACACTAGCTAGTTTTCTAGTTTCATGGATTCCAGGACTCCATTTAGGAATTATTGCTTTAAGGTTCAAGCTGGGTCTCAGGCACTGCAAGCCTATCCCATACATGTGTAATGTTGAATTCTGTTAAATAATGACTACACCAGAAAGACACACCAGGAAAGCTGCACTGTATTGCCCAGGCCAGTTTTCCCTCTTGCTTCTAGTATTATCTAGTATTTCCAGTGAGCCAGGAAATGACGGCCAAGTGGTATACTCTGCCTACACACCCTCAGACATGCTGCTGTTTTTTGATAGCGCCTATCATTGCTGTGCTTCATAGAAGCAGTGTTCATTTTGTTTTTAAATATACTGACCTTGTCCTTAAAGACATCTTGCATTTCAGCATTTTCATGAATATGATATCAATGGAAATGGTATAATTCTGAAAAAGGATCTGAAGGACGTCCTCTATAGATGTGGCATTCCCATGAACCCAAAAGAATTTGAAAAACTCTGGACAAGGTAATATTGTTCTAGTAGTATCTTTTGTTTCCCTCTTAGTTTTAGCTATGAACCTTAATACTACTAAGAACAGTTGTTTCATATTTCTGTAACTTGCTTACTCTCATGATTACTGGCTGATTTCAGGTGAAAAAGCCTGTTTGACAAGACTGAAATGAAGATGAAAATAGCCATTATATAATTATTTTCTTACTTAGGTTCTCAATCTTAACCTTATTACTACCCAGAGATTTCCTATGTTGCCTTTTATGGTTTTTTATTAGATCAACAGAGGAATTAGAAATTGGCTGTGACCACAATCAATGTATCTTTGATCATATATTGATTTTATTCAGGCCTGTACAACTTGTAATCTTCCATACTAGGTGCAACTCATCAGCCATGTATTTCAGCTTATCAGCTTGACAACCCACCTAGAAAGATATTTAGGATTCACTGATAGAGTAGCAGTTCTTTTAGTCCCGGGTAGTATGATATTAAAATGAATTAACATCCTGAGAAGGAAGGACTCACTGGAGAAGACCCTAATGCTGGGAACAATAGATGGCAAAAGAAGAAGGGGGCAGCAGAGAATGAGGTGGCTAGATGGAGTCACTGAAGCAGTTGATGTGAGCTTAAGTGGACTCCAGGGGATGGTGGAGGACAGGAAGGCCTGGAGGAATGTTGTCCATGGGGTCATGATGGGTTGGACAACTGCAGGACTAACATAACATATTAACAAAAAAAGCCTAGCATTAGTGATATTCAGGGTTATGTTTAACCCTGGACAAAGGCGCTTCAAGCAAGAAAAATACTGCATATGAAAAACCTTTGTTCTGGCTGAAATTCTGCCCCCGCCAGGAGATTTTAATCAACATAAGAATGCTTTCAGCTCTCAGCGAGTACAGACAATTCAAGGTATATTCCTTCCTAAAGGTAGGCAAAATGAAAAAAATCAGCATAACAGTGTTCAACCCATTGATCTTTTATCTGCATAACCACACCACTGCACTACACTATGCTACACTGGTTTTTGGTTATAATCCAAATTAGTGTTGCAGACTTGTTAGCAGTGCCATAGGATTCACCACATACAGGTCAGAATAAATGGGGTAGTTGGTTTTGTTTAGAAACAGTTAGAAATGCTTGTGTATGCTTACAGAATGCAAGCTGTCTATTTTAGTATACTTTATACTCCTGTATTTCTCTTCTCATATAGGTAGTTTAAGACTCAGGTGAATACTGCCTTGGATTCAAAGTGACTTGCCTGTATGGTTTATTTCCTTGCAGTGATTCATCATTAAACTATTTTCTACCCCATTGCTCTTCAGTTTCTTTTCTTATTCCTTAAGGAAGTCTTGCGACAGCATGTCTTTAGCATTAAGCCATCTGCTGCACATGCTCTGCTTTAGATAACTTGAAAAAAAAATCCAACATTCATGTGATTAAATACAGTAATTGTAGTCAACATAGCAAAATCTTAAAGTAGAAAATAATGGAAATTATACATCTATAGAAAATTAGTACATAACCTGTAGAATATATTGAATAGAATATCAAAGCAAAAAAATGCATTGCTCTTATTGAGAATTGGAACTTGGCCCACAAGGATTTTTTATCTGAGAAGATATTATTATTATTTCCAGTCTGGACCAAATATTTAAGCAATTTGAAACTGGAATTTAAATATTCAGAAATAGTAATGGAGCTCATTATGTCATGTATATTCCCATGAAGGTGGGCCCTTTTAAATGTTTCCTCAGAGAGCTTTTCCACACACTAAGTTCTTTGCCAGCCAGTCCCTGCGCTCTGCAGAAGAATTTTGAGGAGTGTTATAATAACTCTTTCCTTTCCATCGGAAGAGAAAAATTTTCCAGGCACGCAGAGAGTTCTTTTTAAAACTATTGCAATGAAGGGAACAGAAAGGAATGGTTTCCTTCCCATTTTTCTGTTCACTTGAGCACATGTTCACACATCCCTTTTGAACCCTGCTCCCGGTCGCTTCTTCCCTCCTCCTTTCCCCTAATTGGCTAATAGGGTACTGAGAGTTACATTCTTTCCGCCCACCTACTCCGCGCTGCCTTAACACCAGCCCTTCTTCCCAATCCAGCCCTGCCTCGGTGGGCTACAATAGGCTCATTTTGTTCTGCCTAGCTTGTCAACAAACAATCAGGAAGTATTTGGCCCTTCTTGCCTACGTGCCTGTTTCCCCATACCTTGTGCTATCTGATTGTAGCCCCTCCCCTCCTTTGGGCTAAGTAATTTTCTTTGTTACCCTTGTAAATCTCTTTACTCCCTTGTTTCAAATCATCCTTTCACACCTATCAGAAGTATTATTTATTTATTTATTTATTTATTTATTTATTAAAACATTTTTATGCCGCCCCATTCTCCGAAGCCTCGGGGCGGCTTACAACAAAAAGATTAAAATAACATTTTAAAATATATACAATAAAATACAAATATATAATATAAAACATACACTATAAAACAAGCCGCCCTGGCCAAATAAAATTCAATAATATTAACATTTAAAATACTGCTTAAATAAAAAGGTCTTCGCCTGGCGCCGAAAAACAAATAACGACGGCGCCAGGCGGAACTAGATACAAAGTATCTAAATACAAATACAAATACTAAATACAAAGTATTCTGGGGTGCATTCTTAGTTTATAACAGGCAGCTGTCAGGTCTTGAGTAAGTTTCATTTAGTGGGCAGTATAAAAATGTGATTTATTTATTTACTTATACCAATATGTAGGTATGCTAACATTTAGTCTGTGTGGACTAAAATTGAGGCAGCTTACTACTTTAATAAACCCATCCTTCCTTCAGTTTTTCTTGTGCAGTGCAAGATAGGTGGTGGCTGCAAAGTGTCTTTCAGAGAAGGTTGTCATTGTCAGAATCCCGGAATCTCAATTTGAGAATTGGGAATAAAACTCGGGTTCATGGGAAAGACCAAGCGTCCAGACCATCTGAGTCTTTATTGTATTTACCCCAAGGTTCCCGCGGTACTCACGATAATGCATGCATTACCGGGCAGGCAGAGATGAACTCTGCTGCAAAGCTTCAACACAACTAGAGAGTTTTTATACACTCCCAGTCACATACAGGTACAGGGCAATTGATGACAGAATGTAGAGATTACAATAAGATTCTGAGGTCATCACATACAGAACAGATAAAGAAATATCACTCAATCACACAGTAACAATGAGATTACAATATTTCTAATTGCCTGTATTGACACTTTAGTTCAGTAGCTTGAACCCATCTCCAGGTCTGCTTAAGACATGTAAATTCAAGCTACTGAGAAACTATGCATGATAAGCTCAAGACTCTTATCTAGACTCTAGACATTCTGAATTGGCCAGGGCACATGGAGCCTCTGGGCTATCAAAAAAATTCTTCCTTGTAAACTGAATTCCAACAATGACTATTTTACAATGTATATTTGGACTAAAATGGCCTGTCTACTGTAGCCCACAGCTAAAGGTGAGAGAAGGAGCGGGGGAATGCCATTTTAAACAGTGACAGCTTGGTTTTGAGAAGGAAGACAGGATTTGATCCCACAATGCAAAGGCACACAGGAGTAATGCTTTTCAGACAGGATTTATCCAAATTTTCCCAACACTATTAAGCTGCTCATTAAGAAATCTTGATAAGCTTCCCTTAACAGCAAGATTCTGAGCACTCCATTTCTAAACCCACTTCACTTCTAAAGCTGCCTAGGAAGGCAATTATAGGCGGCCTGTAAATACATGTAAATAAGTAATAAATAAGCCCTCTATTTAGAATGGGGTTACTGCTTGCTTTCTGCTGAAGTAAAGCTTGAAGGGGCATCTGAAATCTTAAACTGCAACCCTAAACTCAGATTACTAGGAAGTAAGCACCATCAAACCCAGTGGAATTTACTGCTGAGTATACCTGCCAATTCATACTGAGTAGTATACTGCTGAGTATACATGCCATATTTACAATTCTGTTTTTGCATTATATTTCACTGACCCAGTGAGCTGGTGCACTTACTCAGAAAGTTCAGTTGCATGAAGAATGCAGCCTTCCTCTGGTGTTTTCCAAACATGGAACCCATAAGGGGAGAAGAGGGCAGCAGGACTGTACTTTTGGCCTTGCCTCAAGATCCTGAGTGACATTGATCAGGCCTTCTGAATTGCTGCAACAGTGTGCAGATGTCTAATGGGCATGGCCATTGCCGCACAGAAGTAGCAGCATGGCCTTTCTGCATTCATCTCATGTGTAGATTCTGTGTGTGGTGAACACCCAAGCAGGGCTCTAAACAGATTGCAGTCCTGCATAGCTGGCGGGGAAAGAAAACTGTCAGGCTGGCACTCACAGGATACTGACGTTTGGGAAGGGGTTGCAGAAGGAAAGGAAGAGAAGAGACACATAACAAAGAAACTGAAGGACGGGTTGGGAGGAATTGGATTGAAAAAGAGGAACCTGAAGGAAGGTCACCAGGTGAAATAAGTGTGAAGGAAAGTAAGGAAAAGATAATACTCTAAAGCAATGAGAGGCAAATTAGAGAGGGTCTCTGAGGAAATTCCAGAATGTTTAAGGACAGGAGGGGCCATATGCTATAGTGGGTATGGAGATATGAGTACTGGGGGGCTGGTCAAGAAGACAAGTGCCTGATGCAGGCAGTCATCTGCAACACAGGTAGGGCTAAAGTGGAACAAGAAATGTGCAAGCATATAACCCCCCCCCCCCACTGCCATATGTTCTCATTCAAATAGTTGTGTCATATTTCCTTGTAGTAGCTCTGGAAAGGGGCTTGTAAGTATGTTTAGCTAAGACACACTCACAGACCTCTGTGACTGTGGACCTTTAGAAAACTTTTGGCAGTATAGAAATTTAATTAATAAATAAAATTATAAGCATGTTCTAAGCTTATAACCAGAGCTTGGAAAGTTAATAGACCAAGTCGGTGATGTGTGATATTTATTTATTTATTTATTTATTTATTTATTTATTTATTAAAACATTTCTATGCCGCCCCTTGCTGAAGCCTCGGGGCGGCTCACAGCATAGAATAAAATACACAATAAATTAAAACAATAACAATTAAAATATATACATTAGAATAAAATAAGCCGCCCTGGCCAAATAGAATTCAATAGTATTAACAATTAAAATGCTGCTTAAATAAAAAGTTCTTCGCCTGGCGCCAAAAAATAATGACGGCGCCAGGCGGACCTCCCTGGGGAGCGCATTCCATAACTTAGGCGCCACCGCTGAGAAAGCCCTCCTCCGAGTAACCACCCTCCTAATTTCCTTCACTGAGGGCTCCCGGAGGAGGGCCTCTCCTGCTGATCTCAGGGGGCGGCTGGGCATATATGGATGTAAGTGCTCCTTCAGGTAACCAGGACCCAAGCCGTTTAGGGCTTTATAGGTCATCACCAACACCTTGAATTGGGCCCGGACTTCAATGGGGAGCCAGTGAAGCTGACGGAGAACTGGAGTCATGTGAACATAACGTCCAGTCCCCGTCAGCAGCCTGGCAGCTCTATTTTGAACCAATTGAAGTATCCGGACCGTCTTCAAGGGTAGCCCCACGTAGAGCGTGTTACAGAAGTCAAGACGGGAAGTCACCAGTGCATGAGTCACTGTTGCGAGGCAGTCGTACTGCAGATAGGGTCACAGCTGATGAATCAGCTGAAGCTGGAGGAAAGCGCTCCTCACCGCTGCTGTTACCTGAGCTTCAAGTGAAAGCTCCGGGTCGAGGAGCACTCCCAAGCTGCCGACCTTATCCCTAGGAGGGAGTGCAACCCCGTTCAGGACAAGGTTCAATTCACCTTCTCCGAGGCCTGAACTGCCTACCAACAGGACCTCCGTCTTGTCTGGATTGAGCTTCAGTTTATTGGCCCTCATCCAGCCCATTACCTCGGCCAGGCACCGGCTCAGTACAGCCACTGCCTCACCTGGATTAGTGGAAAACGAGAGGTAGAGCTGGGGATCATCAGCGTACTGATGACTCCGCAGCCCACACCTCCTGATGACCTCTCCCAGCGGTTTCATGTAGATGTTGAACAGCAAAGGGGACAAAATGGACCCCTGCGGTACTCCATGGCATAGCTGCCATGGCGCAGAGCCATAGTCCCCCAGCACCACCTTCTGGAATTGGCCATTGAGATAGGAGTGGAACCACTGCAAAGCAGTGCCGACCCCCAATCCCGCAAGCCTATCCAGAAGGATACCATGGTCGATGGTATCGAAAGCCGCTGAGAGGTCCAGGAAAACCAACAGGGATGCACTCCCCCTGTCCTTCTCCCTGCACAGGTCATCGTATAGGGCGACCAAGGCAGATTCAGTACCGTACCCGGGTCTGAAGCCGGACTGAAATGGGTCCAGATAATCAGTTTCATCCAAGAGTGCTTGGAGTTGTCCGGCCACCACTCGCTCTAACACCTTGCCCAGAAACGGGATGTTGGCCACTGGTCTATAATTAGTGGCCATCTCTGGATCCAGTGACGCCTTCTTCAGGACCGGTCGGACTACCGCCTCCTTTAAAGGGGCAGGCACCCGACCCTCCTTCAGAGAAGCGTTAACCACTTCCAAGATCCAGGTTCCAATCCCGTGCTTGGAATCCTTTATTAACCAAGACGGGCAAGGGTCCAAAGGCAAGTGGTGGGACGTACTCGTCCAAGCACCTTGTCCACATCATCGGGCCGCAGTAACTGAAATTCATCCAATAATTCTGGACCAGACGGTAGCATTGGTGTCTCCCTTAAGACCTCTGACTCAATAGTGGAATCCAGCTTGTGAGGAATCTGAGCGATTTTCTCCCTGAAATGCCTGGCAAAGTCGTCACAGCGGGCCTTTGAGGGTGGAATCAGATCTTTCGGGCCTGGGCGAACCAGGCCTTGCACCACTCGAAAGAGCTCCGCCGGACGGCATTGTGAGGAGGCCATGGAAGCGGAAAAAAATCTCTTTTTCGCCGCCCTCACCGCCACAGCATAGGCCCGATAGTGGGCTCTTAAGTGTGTT